AATAACCCTTGAAGCTTCATTGAAAAACAACTAGACTCATCTTGTGGGTTCTTGAAGACATTTCATCTTAATCAAAGAAAGCTTCTTCACTTCTAATACTCTGATGGGGAGTTTTAAGACGTATACACAGTGCCTTATAACGTCCTGCCACGAAAGAGTGTCCATTACAAACGGAGGAAGAAAACACAGGAGGGCTCCACCAAGAACCACAAAATAAGAGATAGGTCTGAGGTCTGATGGTTCTTTCCAAAGCTGTAGATGGTAACAGGTATAAAGAGAGGCAGACAAACCAAATTCTTCTTGATGAACTCCTTCCTGCATTTGTCCAGGTTGTTGGGACGAGACTGAGATCTCCTCTCTGAGAAAACGCTGAACTGTCTGCAGAGAGAATGAACAGAGGGAGACAGCGATGAGACACAGAAAGAAGGATGAATCCTGTCACTTCAGACTGAACTGATTCTGATCATAGACACCGACTTGCAGGTGGCCACCAGCTCCAGCAGCACCTCCACCAGACGCTCCTTCGCTTTACTCCTCGGCCTCCTCAACAGAATTTCCACCTCGTCCAGACCGATCTCCTGAAAGAGCAGCAGAGAGCAGCGTGGGAGATGTAGTATTCATTGTCTAATACACGTCAGTAGGGTAATTAAAAGTCACGTGACCCTCACCAGTCTGTCGGCCATCTTGCTGAGCCAGTTAGCCTGATAGAGTCGGAAGCTGTGATCTTCAAACTGGCTCCAGACGAACAGACAAGGCTTTTGTTTCACTGAAGGAGGCTGCAGCTGAAGACACTGGAAGGACCTGAAAACCAGGTGAAGAGACAAAAAGAGAAAGAAAGAGAGACAGAAGGGAAGTCTGTTACCAGCAGGTAACTTATTACAGGTAACTACCTTCTTACAGTCAGTAGAGTCCTTCACAGCATCATCTAAATGTCAAATTACACAACATTGCAGTAATCGGTTCACTTCTAACTTTAACAGCAAAGCATTTCTTCTGATGTGACATTAAAGACGAACAGTTTACATTTGCTATGTTAAAAAGTCAGACTCTGGATGTGAATGAGGATGGTGTCCTGGTTACCTGTGAAGGTGCCGTGATTATTTACCTGTCATACTCAGTGGGCTGTGGTCTCATAGCAGCAGACACTGATCTGTTCTCAGGTTCAGGATTCTGCACTTCCTGTTTGTCCAGCTCGTCCTCCGAATCCAGCAAACCCTGAGACTCCTCGTTCAGATCTTCTTTGCTCCTCCTCAGATCCTCTTTGCTCCTCCTCAGCTCCTCTTTGCTCTGGCTCCTCTTGGACTTCCCAATCACCGCTGCCTTCCCATAATTCCCTGCCAGAGACACAACAGCAGATGGAGGTCAAGGGTTTGATGTTTGACAAATCAGAGCCATGTGCACTCAAGATGGTCAAGCTCAATTCAGGCCCAAATCCTGCTACTTAGAAATGATTTTAAATCCAAATTTACCCAAATTCATGATTTCAAAACAGAGCCCAAAACCCAACTGGCACCTACATTGTCCAGTGCCAGAAATTTCACTTAGGATGTTCTCTTGACTTCAGCAGTGAGTTTGTCCTGCTGAGTTTACAGAATTTGATTTGATTTCTGACAAACTTGAACCCAAAACCTCCTTGCTGGTTTGAAAGGCATTTTAGCTCTAAAAGAAATGTCCTAGTTACTCCATTTATCAGAGTCAGAATGTGTAGAGGGATTTTCAACTTTCCGAAGCTCCTTGTAACTAATTATTTTTAAATTGTTGTTAAATCTGAAACATCTAGAAGATTAGAGGGTTAATCACAACACTAGTCATCTAGCTATTCGACAGTTACCATAAATGCGAGGTGCAACCTTACAGTCAGCAGTCCTTTCATCCAGAACACAAGTTAAGAGTTCTCACCGATGGAGAGCTCAAAGCTCATCGGTCTGGTTCCTACAGACGGATCCATCATGGTGACTTCAAACAGAGACGCAAAGAGCAGAAAATCCTCCTTCTGTCCAAGAAAACCCTGAGGACGGAAAAGAATTCAGAACTCATCCTCTCCAACCTCTTTTGTTTGCTTTATACTGGATATCTGCTCCCTGTGCAGTTTTATCGGTATTTATTGTCGTCGCTATGCAGATGATATTCAGTTATACATTTGTTTAAGACTCCAACATTCTATTTGGTTGACTCAGCTCAATTAAAAATCAGATGAAAGACAATTTATAACAACTTAATGCTGAAACTGGAGGTCATCTTTGTGTCACAGATAAACATAAATACCATTTTCTCTCAAATATCACAGATGCTTCCATGACACAGTTTATTTAATATAACAATCATGATGGAGTTGATGGTGATGGCACTGACCTCAGGGAGAGGATGGATCTCCTCAATTTCCACGGTAACAGCCTCCGGTACCTCGACCCCCGCTTCACCTGAATCATCGGCCAACGTACTCACAGCCTGAGACGCTACGAGGACACAAACCAACAGGATTTCATTTTTCCTTTGCATTTTATTTGAAATTTTGTGTTCTGGAAGTTGACCAGTTTCTGCAGCATCTCAACTTAAATTATGACGAGAAACAACCTGTTAAAGTTTGTTGGACTGACCTTCTTTCTTCTCCTTCTTGCTGTTCCTCTTCTTCCTCAGTCCCAGCTTCCCCAGCGCTCCTTTGACCTTCAACAACAAGATGAATCAGTGGGATCGTAAAAAGAGATGATGAGGTGATGTGAGAGCTGCAGAAATCAGGTGAGTATTACATAAAATGTTATCCAATGTATGGAGAGGTAATCGAGTCTGACAAAACTAATAAAGGACCTACCTTTCCTACGGCGGCAGAGGCTGTATCCGTGGCGACGGCGGAGGGGGAATAGTAAACCTCCATGGAGAGAGCGAGGAGGATTCGACCACGGTAGAAGAGTCCTTCACCCAGACCTTCATTCAAAGCCTGCAGAAAAGTTGAGACTGGATTAGTCTACTTTAGCTCTGCACTGCTGACCTATTAGCGCTGTTATTGATTCACTGAGATTGACTAATTGATTGAGTATGTCATCAAAAATAAAGGTGGACATGCAAAGTGTTGACAAGGTGTATTTTTTAAAAATGGAATTATTGCTATACATGTTTGGTTTGGCTTATTTACCTGGTGGACGTCTCCAAGGGTGGAGTTCTGAGGAGACCCATAGAGATTGACCCAGTTTGGTCCAAAGGTGGGATTAAACCCTGTGGAGAGAAGACAAAGGTATTTCCTTGTACAGTAAATTCAGTAACAGACAACGATCACGTAAAGTGGTTTCTGTTCAAAGGTTACATTTAAGTCATGTCCTTCTCATCACTCTGACATGAATGAGTGTTTTCATTCACCGGTTACAAATCATAAATGGCAAGACTTCTTATGACAGTATGGTCAGACATATTGTACCGTTCCTGGTTGGGTCGGAGATCTGCTGTAGGTCCAGGAAGTGCGTCGCCAAGGCGATGTCTCCCATCTTGGCGTCATCAAGGATCTGGACTTTGATTCGCTGAGCCAGAGGAGGAAACTGCTCGATGAAGGAGATCTCCTCGTTCCAAACTGGAGAGCTGGTGGCGTTGGCGACCGACGTTTCCCCCTGAACACAGACACACAGTGGGATTAGAAAGGTTCAGATACGGAGACTCCTATTTAATTAGTATCACAACTAACCCTTTTAGTCCAAAAACTATCAGGAACTTTAGAATGAGAGGAAGAAGACTGTCTCTTGATCTGTTTTAATCTGACTTCTTTTATAACTTGTCAGAGCCTAAATGTGATTTTAGTGTTAATGGACATCACAAAACATCTACTGCTCATTCTAACATTTGAGCTTTTTGTAGTAATTACTTGTTTTGTGAATGAACTAGGGGAAACTGAAACTGTTGGGAGATATATGTTTGAGCAACAATGTTCCTAAAACATCAGACAACATTTGTCTGAGTACCTGTTGTCCAGCGAAGGTCACCTTTACGTAGGGATCAATGAATACTGCCCGATCAGTGACAGACATCTTGGCCATCAGCCCTGCCTCCATGGTCGGCAGACCCTCGGCCCTGTAGATCCGAACACGGAACCGAGCCCACGGACGCTCAGAAGGCATACCACGAGGAAGCAGCAGGTTCCTGCAAGAAAAAGCCAAAATCAGGACTGCAAGATGAATAAATAATGAACTTAACAAAAAAAGACGTAAACTGGTTAGTTTAGTTGTCAGAAAAAGACATGCACAGGATCTCATGACACAATATTTTCTTCTTAATCTTCAGCAAAAATATTAGAGTTAGATTAGCCCTAATATCTTTTAAAGTGATAGCAATGGTTAGGTTCCTGTGTGTCCCTGTTGCCCAAAATGATATTTGGAGTTCCTCAGGACTCAATCCTTCTTGAGTCCTGAGGAACTCCAAATATCCGTCTTCTTTTATTTAGCATTACATGCCTCCTTTAGACAATTTCTGTAGGAAAATAAACTTGAATTGATCATAAATATGCATAGTTTTATGCCGTTGTGTTTTTTGTATGTCGACAATGACTGATTTGAAGAGGAAATAGGATTTTTACATTGTGTTATTACTGACTTTTCTATGTCTTCACTGGCTCCAGATGAGGAGGCCGGTGGCAGACTGGGCATGCCCAGAGCGTCTCCCTTCATCAGCACATTGAGGCTGGCCTTAACGTAACCCTTGATCCCGGACCGGGTGTCTGCCGGGTCGGTGAGAGGAGCCCACTTCTGGTAGAAGCGATGGTCTGAGGAGGCAGAGAGGTCAGTGAGTGAGTACTGCAGTATTTAGACCAGAGTACTACAGTGGGAGCAGTACTGGTACCTGGCTGGTTGTACACGGTGGCGATGTCAATCTTAAAGGTTCCAATGTGGGTCATCAGGAAGGCCAGAGTCCGTCTGTGGAACACCTGAGAGGACATAACGTCACAGGTGTTCAGTTTGGCTACGCCTCCACAGGGCTGTCACCATGGTAACAGCAGTAGAAACAAAAATAGTTAATTAGTGAAACAGCAGAACTGACCTTTATCTCTATGACTTTATCAAAGAAGATCTGAGAAGCCTCCTGAAACTCAAACTGGAAGTTCTGCAAGAAAAGAAGACAAGAGGTAACAGTTCTCCTGTATTCCATTGTTTTCCATTGTATTCCATTGTATTCTATTGTACTGTATTCTACTATATACTATACTGCACTGAACTCTACTGCACTGTATTATACTTTATTGCACTATACTGTACTGCAATGTACAGTGATGTATTCTACTGGAATGTACTTTCTGCACCATAATCTACTGTGTTCTAGTGTGTTCTACTTCCTTGTACTGTTTCCTGCTTTACTGTATTCTGCCTTCCTGTATTCTACTGTACCTGACTGTACTCTGCAGTACTGTTCTCTACTGTTCTCTACTGTTCTCTACTGTTCTCTAATGTGTTCTACTGTTCTCTTCACTCTGCTGTACCTCGTTGTAGAACGGACAGTTGGTGGATTTCTGCGTCGCCGTGTGTTTTTTCTGACCTCCAACTCTGACGAACACTGCAGGGTTTATGTTCACTCCAACCAGCTTCTGAGCTTCCAGGATGTTCACATTTACCTGCACATACATAAATCCAATATCCATACTGAGTTAGCAGACAAGAATATGTTTCTAATCGGTAAGGTAATAAACGTCCAGTGTGCAAAAAGGAAGTTAAGTGTAGGATTCTTTCACTGAAAACAGTTATGTTGCAGCTGGCGCTATCACAGTAATGAAACTTAAACCAAAAAGTAAAATTAATGATCCAAAGCTCTCTACAAAGTTCTTTACATGCTGTCATTTCATGCATTGTTAACATAGAAATACTAGCAGAGATACCAAATATTGGAAGAATTATTAAGGAAAAAGCAAACATTTTAAAGTAAAGTTTTAATAAACTTGAGGGGGACAAAGAACAGAAAGTACTACGAGGTTCTTAGTTTAGTTGTTGAAAAAGCCATGTGGATCTGATGAAGTACTATTTTTTGTTTCACAAAGTGGACAAACCTTTAGTTTGGAACCTCAGCAACATATTAGAGCTGGATTGGCCTCAATATTTTTCAAACTGATAGCAATGGTTGCTTCCTACGCATTCAAATGGAACAAAGCAATATTTGGAGTTCCTCAGGGCTCAATCCTGGGGCCTCTTTAATTTACCATTCTCCCTGTCATTTCATGCATTATTACCATAAAGATAACCGTTATACAGCTGCTTTAATTAAAGGAGCCCATCAGAAATCTGAGTGTGATGGATGAATGAATCACCTGGAAGCTCTGGACTCTGGGCATCGCTGCTACAGCACATCTGGACAGCGGCCTGCAGCGACTACAATACACAGATAAAACACACAGAAGGTCAGTCTTACTGCACACAGATGAGTTACAGGTAAACTGACAGGCAGGCAGGTGACCAACTGACCTCAGAAGAGGAGTGAAGATGATGTCTGAAGTCTCCATGTCCATCAGGTCGTCGTCATAATCATCGTCGTCATCTTCTTCGTCTTCGTCTCCCGTCCGAACCAAACTCTGTCCCAGACGACGAGCTTCTCTGTCCCGTGGATCTGGACGGCTGAAAGTCTGCAGACTGAAGCATCGGCATCAGTAATCAGAATCAGTTCGGCTGAGAGAATAAATGCATAAATTTGTGTAAATTCTCACCTCGTCGGGTCGTCGAATCCTTCATTCCTGATGACCAGAGCTGAGCTGGGGATGGACAAAGACGAAAAACAAATTGAGAGAAAAGAACAATCCTCTCTGTTGGTCTACTTCTCTGTGGAGTGTAGATGTGCTAACAGTTTCCCTCTGCTTCCAGTCTTTGTGCTCAGCTAGGCTAAACACATCCCTCAGGGGTTGACTCCACAGAGACAGATATTGCTTGATTATAAATGGAAATCTGTTGCAAAAAACTGTTTAATCTTTGACAGGCTTAAGGACTTATTGAATTCTGGTTAAATAATAAGTTTTTAAGTAGACAATATTTTATAGATATTAAGATATTATACAAGTTCTGTCTAATACTGCGTCTCTCTCCGTCACTGTGTTGAGTATATTTAAATTAAACTACAAAGAACATGAAAGCCTGAATGGCAGAATGTTGTCACCTTTTCTGTTTTTTGGTAGGATTTAATATGTAAAATATGTCAACTCTGGTATAATCACACCTTGAGTCACACTACAGGGTGTTAACTGCAGTGTTTAGTCTTGTTGGGTTACTTTAATCATGCCAATCATAATCCTTTTTACTGTTTTATCTCTTTTTTGTTGCATGTTTGCATCTTATTTACTTGTTGAATTTGTTTTCTAATTGGACATTTGTCTTGTTATATCTCTGATTTCGAAATATGCCATAAAAATAAAGTTCGTATTAGGGTTTTTTTTTAATCATTTTAACACACTGATGAAGCAGAAATGTTAAGTTTCTGAAAAGAGCTTCAGAAAAACACAATTTGTGAGCCATGTTTTGCCTTTTTTGTCATTTGGTGCCTCTTAGTGTTACTATAAAAACTTCTAATCTAAGAGTAAAACTTAAACTGTACGACCACTAAAGTCCAGTTTAAAACATGTTTGTGAAACCAGTGGACGTTCCCCTGTCATGACATCAGAATTTAGAGTGAACCAGAAGGATTGAATAAACGTTGCAGCTCTCCTTTAAAGTTCAGGTTAGTAGAAAAGACGTCATCATACTCGTCCTTGTCTTCGAGCGTCAGGAAGTCGAGTCCCTCCCAGTGACCTGCCGTTCCCTCCACTGGATGGAAGCGAACGTCCAGCTCGATGTAGATCTGCAGAGAAGCAGACAGATGTGACCGAACACCGCGACTCTTCTTCTTCTACATGCAACAGTGTGTGTTTGTGCGTCCTCACGTCTGTCAGGCTGTAGTTGGCATCCGTGAGCGGTTCCCGTAGCAACAACCTCCCGGAGGTGACAACATGCTGGAGGCTGATGACCAGCTGACCGAGGAGTCTGCAAACATGAACACGCTCCGATTATCACTGATTGATTTGTGTGTTTGTGTGCAGATTGTGTATCCTTGCTTTAAGAGTTCAGGTTAGAACTTCAGCTTTGCTTATGACTCACAACATTAAATGGAAAATAACAAGATAAAGTCTTAGTTTTCAGACTTTCAAATGTATATTCAAGTCAATTTAACTAAAATTTTATTTATATAGACACAATTCATTCATCTAAAGGCAGCTCACACAGTCAAGTAACATTTCTAACCAGCTCTATCAATGTGAAGGTGTCAGAATGGAATTTTAATCCAGGTACTGTTTTACAATCACAAACAAAAATCTTCTATTGCATTAAATAAAATGAATGAAGTCAGAGTTGTGTGTGTGTGCCAGTGTGTGTGTGTGTGTGTGTGTGTGTGTGTGTTACCTGTTGGAGAAAACTTTACTGCAGTTGTAAACACGGACGGACAGAGCTTCATCACTGATTCCTTTACCGTAGTGCGGCCAACGGAAATGCTGCACAAACACACAAAAAGGTCGATTACACATTTTTTTTTGCACGCTTTATATCTTCATATGTCGAAATCGAAGGTCCCTATTTACTGATCTTCTGAGCTTTCAACTGCATTTACAGACTTCTTTAGTGAACAGAGCTGTACATTGGTGACCTTTAACCACGTCTATGAACTTATTTATCAGCTTAAACTCAGGTTGACATGAACACATACACTTACACATGCGATTAAATTTAGGGTTTTAGGGAATTTCATAGACGGCAATCAAAGCAGCAACCGTCTGACTAAAGCTAAACAAGCTGCTGCCCTGTAAGTTGAGGAAAGTCAACATTTAAAGGCGACAAACTTCACTAAAGGTTTAGGTTATGGGATTTTCTACTGTTTACTTACTCAAAGTAACTTAAAGCCCAGATTCATTTATTGAACTATTTCATCATTTGTTGATTCAAAACAAATCCCAGTAAGCTCAGACACATCACTCCTCACTTTAACCTCTATTGTAATCCTCTGGTGGATTTAAAAGGCAGGTTGTCTGTTTTTTATATGCTTTTTTTATCATCAACAAAATGACACCATTTATCAACCAGAAACCACAAAAATCATCAGATTTCCAGCATTTCTGTTAGTTTCATTGGGAAAATTAACCTGCTTTGAAAATAAAATTATGATGTTTTATCAGATTGTTTGTTGTACATGTTTAAATTTTTTTTTTAAATAGCCCAAAAGAAACAATTTGCTCGAAGCAGATTCTGTAAAAAAAAAAACTAAAAATCTGTATTCCTCAGCACAACAGTGAACACAGTAGAGACAGTAGAGATATATTATATACAGCGCCCTCCATAATTATTGGTGAAGATGTGTTCTTTAGCTTCTAGTAAATTCTGTTTTTTTTCTAAACAATATAGGATCACAATGAAAAAAAGAGGAAAATTCAACCTTTAATTCAAGTGCATTTATTCAGTGTGAAAAACATCCCACATTAAAAAATAATTATTTTACATCAGATCATGTGTTCCACAGTTACTAGCACCCTGGATGTTAATACTTTGTAAAACCCCCTTTTGCCAACAAATCATTTGAGTTGAGTTGAAGGTTACATTTTTCTACAATTTTCAGTATGAGAGGATGCTTCTGCAATAAAAATTGAATTTATTTTAAGACTTTTAACACATCTTAACCAGAGGTGCCAATAATTCTGGAGGGCGCTGTGAGTAAACAGTTAAATATATAAAGCATGTTGAGCCTCCTTGTCTGTCCAGTGTTGGTAACACCTGTGGACACTTGGAAGTAGTTATGGTATTTTTTAAATAAATACTCAGAGAACTTCTAATTTTCCTTTTTATGATTTCTATCATTCTGTTTCGTGCTACACAGAAGACTTTTCTGAGTTCTCGCTCCTCCTTCATGGTTGTTCAGGACTTTATGTTGCAGTGAAAAACGAGACAGGAGCCAGAAAAAAAATGGTTCACAACAAAGCCAAACTCAAACCAGAGCGATAAGGAAGAAGCCGTTTCTTTCTTTACTTTGGACAGTTTCCACTTTACACATGAACATGTAAGGGTTAAATGTACTCGGCTGGTCACACCTGAAGAACAAACACCTGTCTGAGGAGCACTGTTCACGTCACACAGAGTTCCCTGAATCAGTCTATCAGTCAGCAAGGTTCACGTCAACAGACACATGATGTCATGAAAACAGGCCGAGGCTTTGCTTCAACAAATATGTTCTCCGTCTGTAAAAAATTATGTAATCAAATGTGTTTTCAGGAGATTCAAAATCACTGTGTGACCATCAGGAGGAAACGTTTGATGTTGTTTCTTCGGGCTGTTGCTATGGAGACGCCGTAAAATTTATCCGGCATGTTCTGCAAAACTCACAAAGTTCAGAAACCAAACAGCTCCTTAACCAGCTTCATGTAATATCACTGAAGTGTCCAGTGATTCTAAACTCTATCACCTGTCATAACTGTCAGATTTTTAATTTTGAATAACAAAACATTTTTCCCACGAAGGACCAAAAACAAATACTTTAGAAACACTGTCCTGATAATTTAAGTAGAAACTCAACAAAAGTGAATCCATCATTGAAACTAAACCTGTGATTTCCAATCAGGCTTTTTGTATGAACAGCAGAACTTTCTCCGTTGTGGACCTATGAGCTGTGTCTATGTCTGCATCATGGATCCACATGGAGAAGAACTGAACAGAGGAACTGATAAATCTGACTGAGAGACTTTAAAAAGGTGGAAAAGGATCCATGAAGATCAACTCAACATCAGTGAAGCCCAGTGTGAGCAGTAACCAGGAGGTCTAGAAGGAGCCACAGTAGCTCTGATCAGGGCTGCAGTGGTCGTCCTCCTACAATGACTCCACACACAGTGAACTACTTTCATGATCCAGCTGTTAAAACAGACAAAGGCAGCTGCTTCAGTCTTGGTCCAGGAGTTATCAATGGAAACCAGAGTGAGTGTGAAGCTCAGACAGTGTGAAGGACACTTCAGAACATCAACCTTTGTGGACGGAGGACACAAAAAAACACCTTGTTGCTGCTCAAGAACATGAACAGAAGCCTGATGGATGTTGGAGAACATTCTCTGGTCAGATGAAGATAAACTTGTTGGGCTCAGATGGAGTCCAGATGTTTGGTGGGAACCTGACCAGGACGACCACAGTGAGTCCTGACAGTGAAGAAGGAGGTGGGAGTGATGAGAAGAGGCTGATGATGATATTTATAGGTGAATGTCTGTGAATAAACCAGAATACTGGCTGACTAGATGACTAATATTCCAGCAGGAGAACCATCCAAAGAACAAAATCACACAAGACTTTCTACACAAGAACAAATTAAAAACTACGTCCTGGACCGTACGCCTCCTGACTTCTTTAGACACAAAAATCCTGTCTGAAGATATCAGTTTGATATCACAAGTTCATGTTCTTTCTCAGACCTGCCAGTGCATCAGAATCCAGCAGAATCATGTCAACAGTAGGCGTCTGTGTGTGTTGAAGGAGTGGTGCTGTGTATGTTCTGGAGGAGCGGCTCAGCTTCCTATCAGCTCTGTTAAAATAGTTTCAATCTGACGAACACAAACAGCTGCAGCTACATGCTCTGCCACCGTTCTGTGTGTGGGAGAAGGCCATCGCCCAGCACACACACACACACACACACACACAGAAAAATCTGATGAACGTCATGTGATCAGAAATCTCGTCACCTCCGTTTTCACCCAAACCGACCATCTGTAAATGTATTATACTGTACGTAGGCAGAACTCTGTAGGTGTCTCATTCGCTTCAATACATTCAGTTTTATCAAACCCTGGTGGATGTCAGAGGAACTGCAGCTCAGCACACGTCAGCCACGAGGCTGCTGATTGGCTGTTGCTACAGATGTGCTGTGATTGGTCTGAACAGCATGACCACTGACCTCGTTGAAGATGGCGACGTTCTCACACTGCAGGACTCTGGTTTTATGAGTGAAACCTGGAGGACAGACAGACAGACTGGTTACCGTAGCAACAGCAGGGATGCTTTAGCCTCTGCTCGCCGTTAACCGGCAGGTTAACCAGCTGGTTAAACTAACCCAACCTAGAACACAGAGCGGGGTCAGAGCAGGCTTCGAGGATGCAGTGTCAAATGTAAGCTTTGGTACCTTTACCTGCTGACCATCACTTTTATCCACTGACCACAAAGACACACAAAAAACACAAAACAATCACAGGAACACACAAAACAACTATAAAGAGACACAAAACTACCACATAAAGATACAAAATGACCATAAGGAAAAGCAAAAAAATCACAAAAACCACAATCATGACACAATCACAAACAATCAAAATGCAAAAGGACTACAAGGAGACACAAAACAATTACAAAAAAACACAAAACAACCCCAAAGAAACACAAAAGGATCACGAAGATACACAAAACATTTACAAAAAACACAAAATAACCACAAAGAAACACAAAACGACAACAAAAAACACAACCCCACCACAAAGAGGCACAAAACAGTCACAAAGAAAGTCAAAATGATCACAAAGAGACACAAAACGACCACAAAAAAAACACAAAAAACCACCACAGAGAAACAAAACATCCACATAAAGATGCAAAATTACAACAACAGAGACACAAAAATACCACAAAATAACACAAAACAACCAAAAAGAGAGACAACAATCACACAAAAAACACAAAAAGAAGACAAAGGCACACAAAACGACAGCATAAAAACACAAAATTATGATAAAAAAACACAGAATAAAAGGTCAGTGGAGCCACTTGGCTGCTGACACTTCTGTGCTTTACAATCGTTCTTCTACCTTCACTGCAGTGTTCCTACAGTCGGCTGTTTGTTCTCTTACTGACAGCTGGAGGCCTGAACCATCAGCACTCAACAAGTGTTCTCACCTCTGAAGCTGAGCTCGACCTTCCTGTCGGACCGACCCGGCAGGTTGGAGATCCTCTTCAGGTTCACGGTGATGGACATGATGACCGACACCCGTCTGCTCACCTGTCCGTCTGCTCACCTGTCCGTCTGCTCACCTGTCCGTCTGCTCACCTGTCCGTCCGTCTACATGGTGTCTCTGGCTGCAGCCTTTCTGTGTAACTGTACATGAAGTGTGTCGGGGCAGGTCCTCGCTAATGTTTGAGAAGGCAAATAGAGTTGCTCAACAAGTTTCCTCCTTGGAAAACACACACACACACACACACACAGAGCCAAGATGTGACTTATTAAATATTATGGTTAGCGTCCTACAATATTATTAGTTGCACATATTTGCCTGAATAATTTAAATATTAAACTTTAAACCTGCCATATTATTAATTACACACATATAATTTTATACCTAATGCTCGACAATATTCAGAATTATGTCAATTATTAATAATAAAAAGTTGTTTTAAATATCAAACGTACCTCATACAATATTAATCATTACATACATACATTTAAGTGACGAATTCAAATATTAAAGTACAACAATTACGCAAATTAACCAGACTAATTAAATGTCACAGTTTGTGTCCTATAATATCATCAATTTTGCAAACTCATTTAAATATTCAATTATCATTTATTGTATACATTTAAATCATTTAAATATTAAGATACAACAATATTCTAAATTATGCAAATGTGTCTAACTCGTTTCAATATTAAACTTAGAACCTATTCTATCATTTATGAATTCAAATGATTTAAACATTAAGGTACAACAACATTTGGAATTGTACTAATTAACCAGACTTCATGTAGAACCCTATAATATTATTAATAATGTATAATTACCTGACTAATTGATAATTAAGGTTATGACCCCCCAGCACTACATTAATTGACTGTTTCTAATTAGATGGAATTTTAGCTAAAACTGAAATCCATTATGAGTCCCTACTTTGACTGGTAGTTATTAATAATAATCACTGACTTCACCGTTGAGAGCAAGCAAGTAAAACAATTTAAGATCTTTGTAAATAAATAGAACTTCTTAAACAGCCCACATTCTGATTTTTCCCTTTTCAGCTTTAAAAAACCAACAACCAACATAAAAGTAACTGTTCTGAACCAACAGCAACAGAATCAATGTTCTGAATTAAAGTTATTCTTCACTTCTCTGTCTGTAAAAGCAAACAATTTAATTATATAAATCCTATTATGTTAAACATGCAGGCTGGAATAAACAGGAGTTTAACTTTAAAGCTGCAGCTCTTCACACTGAAACACAACAAAGAAACTTTTCTTCTTTCCCAAAGTTGTTTTTATTGGATTCTAACATGCAGCATTCCACCAGACACTGGTTATACTGGTTAGTTACACTGGTTAGTTAATAGATAAAGAAGTGAGCAGTGCAGTTGGTGGTCACGTGATGCTGTCTGATCTCAGCCTGCAGAGGAGCAGCACGGTGCAGCAAAGCATCATGGGAGGTGAAGTTCTTCAACACTTTGCCTCATTTTTCAGTTTTTCTTTTTTTTTTGTTCCTGAACTGATGCTGTGATGTTTCCTCGTTTAAGTGATGACATCTCAACACCATGTGACCACGCGTACAGGATTACAGCAGAACTCAGATCTGGGCCGGATCCACAAAGTTGGTTTAATAATTCAGGCTTATTTCAGTTAGGCTTAGACTTATATTTGGGATATTTTGGTTACATAAAGCAAATTTAGTCAGGCTCAGTTACTCTGGAAACTTATGCTGGGAAACTGACCTGGTCCAGGGCAGGCTAACTGTCTGCCATGCTAATTAACATTTAGGCTAACTGTCAGGCCAACTAATTGTCGGGCTAACTCAGACTAACTGCCAGGCCAACTGTCAAAGTAACTGTCAGGCTAAGCCTCCATCTATGTGTCAGGCCAACTGTCAGACCAAGCGTCAATCTAGTCGTCAGACTAACGGTTAGGCTCATTGTTAGTTGATTGTCGGGCTAACTGTCATGCTAACAAACCTTTAGTTAACTGTCAGGCTAAGTTTCAGGATAACTGTTTGACTAACTGTCAGGCTGAATGTCATTTAACTGTCAGGCTAACTAACTGTCTGGCAAACTAAAAATCAGGCTAAGTGTCTGGCTAACTGAACTGTCAGACTAATTATTAGGCTAACTGCTAGTTGTCAGACTGCCAGGCTAACTATCAGGCAAACTAATAGTCAGTTAACTGCCAGACTGTCAGGCTAACTAACCGTACGTTAGCTATCAAGGTAAGTTTCAGGCTAACTGTCAGACTGTCAGGCTAACTGTTAGTTAACTGTCTGGCTAAGTGTCAGGATAACTAACTGTGAGGCTAACTGTCAGACTAAGCCTGACTAAGTCCAAGTCTTACTGGAAATAATCTTGACTATTTAATCCTACATCAAACTAGCCTGGTTGCGTGAAATTGAACTGAACATTTTTGGAACCAGTTTAACCGCAACTAATTCATCCAAGTCAGGTTTTAATCCAAACTTTTCTTATCTCGCTTAAGGGATCAGACCCCAGATCTCATCGTGATGTTCAGATACAGTCGATTTACTTCATTAACAGTCGCTTTGAAAATAAATGTGACGTTAAACAAAACAATATTTTCCTTCAGCAATGTAGAACCCAAAAGGTGAAAAACAAACGGCAGCTTGACGAAGTTCAACTAACAAAAATAATTTTTCAAAAATCTGCAGCTGCATGGAGACATAAGAAAATAAGTGAAGTCCATTTAGTGCATCTCAGCTGGTTTACCTGAACAAACTTTAGCAAGTAACTGGTAGGATTTTTTATTGAGATAAGCTAAAGAAGGTTTCCCACATAGAACACGTCTCTCAATGTGTTTTCAAACCCGGAGATCGAGCTAATCTTACTCTACATATTGGGGATTGGCACCGTATCAAAAAAACTGGATTGAATTGATGAAGAGACCTGGAAAACTCACTGGATCATTTTATTTTCCACCACAAGACAAAAAACGCTGGGAAACAGACAGAGAAGAAGTTCACTTTTGCTCTGTTTGCTTTCTGATTTGTCGTCTGTTCAACCTCTAATTTAAAACTTCACTGAGAGAAAGTTTATCACGTTTCAAAAGAGATAAACTGGAATAAATTCGATCCCAAAACAACCAAAGAGCTGCTACATAAAACACTCTTTCAACCAACTGATATGTTTGACGAAATATTCAGAATTTTACCTTTTCCCAACATCTCACAGTCGTTCAGCCGACTCAGACTGTGACATCTTTCTTTGCTCAACTTAACAAAACAATGCAAACAATATGACGTACAAATATATGACTTATAAAAAAAAAACCTCACAAATTGTCTATAAACTGGATAAAAAAAGACAAAAATGGCCGCTTAGCAATTATTCTTGGGTAAATGTTTCCTGATTTATTCGTCATTTCTTTAGGCAGCTCCAGCACAAGTGGTGATTAAAAGAGGTTAAAAGGTGATTTAACCCTCTGAACTCCAAACAGCAACTTCTAGGTTGTTGGTTTTTTTTGCTTGGGTCACATTTTTACTCTCTGTGGGCTCGTTTTTCACTCCAATATAAAGTCAAATACTTGTCACGTGACTGTTAGTTAATTTTTTGTATTTTTAAACAATCTGGTAAAAGCAATTATTTGAATTTTTTTGGCTAATTTTTAATGCCGAGACACGTAGAAAAAGAGATTTTGTTCAAATATCACAATTTCGAGCCTAAATTTGGTGATTTTCTCAACGCAACAGCACCTCACAGACAGAGGAAAGTTCGTTATCTGACAGTTTGCGGTTCTGTTAAATGTTTTGGCGATTGTCTTGAACACAACCTGCTTTTGAACTCTCTGTCAGGTTCTGAAGTTCAGAGGATTAAGTCAAATTAAAAACCACAATGTTCAAGTTCAGCCAGGGACTTTTTCTTTCCCCCATCTCTCCCTCGTTATTTCTCTACTACATGTAATAAAGGCACAAAAAATACAACATCTCCAAGCGGTTTAAAGTGGTTACAGGTGAAGCGTTGGCAGCGGTTTATTTCAATGTACCTCTGAATGACATCAAATGAGGCTTTGCTGCAGTACATATGAGTTTTGACACATCTTTAACACTGTTGTTTTCAGGTTATTCCACGAGTTGAGGAGATCATTGACACAGAAACATGGCGGACCTTTAAGAACCGCCGGTGTGATGCTGCTCAGCTGGCGTGTAAAATGTTCGTCTGACAACATTTTCGGCTGCGTTTCCACCAAAAGCACCCTGAACGCTTCGTCCCAGGAGCCACTCCGAGGAACTAAAGCTTTTTCTACTCCAAAATAAAGCCTCATGAAGATACCAGTGAATGAGTCGGCTGATAGCGGCTCCAACAGAACAAAAGGCAGAAGAAGTGAGTTCCTCAAAACGTTCTTAGTTCCTAGAAAAAGAAACGCGGCTTTAACGATTAACGGAGTCTTGCCTTCAATCAGAATTTCAACTTGAAGCCACCGTGTTTGCATATTTTCAGATGATTGACCGTCTGTTGGCTCCCAGCAAACATTCCAGTTTCTGTCAGAGGGTTTTCTTCAATAAGGCACTTTACAGTCAGATGCCATCTTTGCTTTAAGAACTTAATTGTCCTCTACGTTTTGTATGTCACTTCTTTTTTTAACTCTGTTCTAAAGATGTTTTTATCTCTAGTAGGGAAGAACATCAGATTTTCTGTGTCCACACGGCAGCGAAAGTTTGCATGGTTGATCAATAAGCCCGCAGACGGTTCGTTTCACAATTGTGCGACACGTGCGAGCGGTAATTGTCGTGAGTCGTGCTGCGTGGCATTCAAGAACATTCCAACCACCTGAACCGTGGCGCCATGGCACGTAAATGCTCCAAAGCAGCGTAAAAGTTCCTCTTCCCCAAAGTGAACTTACAGTTAACTGGTCGGACTCGGTTTAAGGGATTCAGCTTCACATGTACAAGAGTTGCAGGAGCGCTGGGAGCAGAGCGCCCCTGCACAAGGAGACGACTTGAACAAGGATAAAGATTAAATTCAAATCAAGGACAGTTACCGATTTTCACAAGAACTTTTTGAACCGAACCACTTTCAGGGCTTTTAAATGATCACTGAACAGAGAGGGCTGCGTTCAGACGATGCCGTGACGCTCAGGATGATAAACTGATGACGAGCTGAACTGAAAACAACATTGACATCGTGTTTGAAACGCCGGGAGCCAAGATGGCGGCATCGACAAACCGCTGAGAGTTGCAGTCCGGAAACATTCAAAGTAGCTGAGCAGCGTCACACCAGCGACACTAAAGTCCACACGAAGGCAACAGTAAAGTTTTTAGTAAAGCTATAAGGTTAAAGCTATGACTAGGGGTATATAATATCATTCATATACAGTTTTCCAGCATTAAGTGCAAGAGCAAAGTGCAAAGTATTGGCACCTGATGAATAAAGCTACTCAGAGCGTCCACACACACACACACACACACATACAGGCTGCAGTTCCTCTAACGACCACTAGAGGTTGCTGTGATAAAACTCAGACTGTATGGAAGTGAAGGGGAAAAAAACCCAACAACATACAGGTTTTAGCTCTCAGGTGATGTGACCTTCTTCTGTTACTACGGCAACAGTAAGACAGGTGGAATGTGGAGCCAAAATGGCCGACATGATGTGTGTTTTCTGTGTGCGTGTGTGGCTCTGCGATTATCTCACACGTGTTAGCAAACGCACGTGTGATCTGCATAGATATTGTGGAAGCAGCAGAAGGAATAAAATATAATCTGTACTCTACTATTATCATTCCACTTCTTAAAGAGAGCAATCTGGAAACAAAGCGGTTATAAAACTGATATAAAAAAAAGAACTGGGGATGTTTGCCCCTGGCATCCTGATTGGCTGACAGCAGAGTGCTGCTTTGTGATTGGCTGACACATCAGGTTGGCCCATGAAGATTGGTCGATGTTGGAGGTGGAAGCTTGCGGGGGAGCGTGATCCGAACCTGGAATGAGATGAAGGTGGGCTTTGGGAATGCAGGCGGTGTGTTTAGGATGTGTGGGGGGTAAAAGGTTTAGGATTTGGGAGCAGCTTGTGGTTTCGGTGGGTCCAGGCCTCTCATTTTGAAGTAGGACACCAGCTGGTTCGGAACCTCGGCGAGGACACACTGAGCCAGAGCCGCCTGGGGAGCCTGGACAGACAGACAGACGCGATATTAAACAATAAACTGATTGAAGTTTCTTATATGTGAACATTTTCTTGGTTCTTTCCTTCGTTTTGACTCCAAACTGAATGTCTTTGTGTTGTGGACAAAACAGGACATTTGTAATGTTGGACTGAACACACAGAGCCTTACGTCTTTGAACTGCCTGTAGGGGACGAACTGGACGATGTCTCTGGCGACGGCCTCCCCGACCGTCGACCTCAGCACGCCGTTGTCTCCGTCCAGAAGCTCCATGGCCTTGAAGTCTGCCGGCCCGACGCCCACGATGATGACGGACAGGGGCAGCCGCGACGCCCGCACGATGGCGTCTCTGGTCTGGTCGAAGTCTGTGATCTCTCCGTCGGTGAGGATGAGGAGGACGAAGTATTGCTGCAGAGACAAACAGACGCAGGTCAAACTCTGACTGCGTGTTTCTAGTTGGTTTACGTCTGGTGTTTTCAGTGTTGCTGCTCACGGAGGCGGTGTTGGCCTGAGCGGCGCTGGCGGCGATGGAAGCGACGTGGTTGATGATGGGGGAGAAGTTTGTTGGTCCGGACAGTTTGAGCTGAGGCAGAACCATCCGGTAGGCTTCAACAATCCCCTGAATTCCTGAGAGACACAAAAGTAAAGTTTGTTTAACTGCTGGAGACAGATTGGAAATGACTGTATTTCTAAAGAGTTCTTCCTAAAATTGTTCTCTGGGAAAAATAAAATGTAACTGTGGAATTTTTTTAGAACGTGTGTGTTCACATAATAAAGACGCGTTCTCCGTCGTAGATATAATCTGACTTCACCTTACTGATATTACAGCAATTTACCTGAATTAAAGTTCTTTCACAAAAACACCACCAAACCTCAAAGTAGTCAAGCCTCTGACCCCCAAAACCATCTGGCAGGTTTGGAAAGTCTGTTATCTTTCTAAAAAGTATCCCCAAAATGACACCATTTATCTGAGAGAAATTGTAAAAACAAAAACAATCGCTGGACTTTCGCTGAACTACTCAACGGTGATGTGTCAATCTTTACTAAATCCAAAAATACTTCTAGATATTTAATCACATCTGCTTTATCCGACATGTCTCATTTAAAAAATCACCAAATATAAACGATTTGCTTTAACTCAATTCTGTAAAACCCATTATCCATCAGTGACTCAGCTACAACCAACAGCTACGTGGGACAAATGTGGAAACAAATGAAAAATGTAAATAGTACAATATCTATAATATGTGGCGTCTAGTTTGTTTTTCCTCCAGTGTTGGCAACATGTGGACTCTTGACAAAATGTTGGGTATGTTGAGGTTTCAAAGGACTTCTGTACAACTCACTCCAATCCAACCAGCTCCTACAGTAAAATGCTACTTGCACATTAACCCAAGTCTAAAATTCTCACATATATAACGATGTATTAGTCACGTGATTAATAAAACGAGAGCTTTTACTGGTAACACGCTGACTAGAGGATGTTTGATCTGTGTACCTTGGCAGTAGGGGTTGGTGGGGTTGAAGTTGAGGGCAAACTCGTGGTGCGCCGCCTGCAGGATCAACAACACAAGAGTTAAATAAAATCAGACGTTTTACTTTAATAATTTGATCACACAACATCCCAGAATCACTTGTGTTGGGACTGGTTGGTTAGAGAGCCCACCTGGTAATCTGGAGGCAGTTTGGCTCCGAAACCGAACGCTGGGAAAAGTTTATCCCTGAAACAAGACACACAAAATAACGGCGGTTACAGTCAAATCAGTAAAAGCACTTTGGTAGCAAATAGAAAATCTAAACTGTTGGTTATTTATTTGACATCTGAGCAAACACTCTACTGTTTGACTTAGAAGTAATCTGATTACTGTGAATCCTTTAGGTGATATTTTACACTCTGCTGTATGTTTGTAAATTGGTGTTTCAGAAGTTAGAACTGGGTTTTGTTGTTGAGGCTGTGAGGTTCGGGTTGTGTAGTTTGCGTTTGAGTGTGCACTAACGTGTCGTAGTCCTGAACCACCTGACCCACAGACCACAGAGCAGACAGGTACTGGTTCAGCCCGTCCGGACTCAGGTAGTGGAGCGAGTTGGGCGAGCGAGGATCGCCGTTGGAGCCGGTGAAGTCGATCCCAACCTGCAACGTTCACACAACGTTAATACAGTCGTTCATTAATCAGCGCCTACTAACGTCCAATCACACGCTCATTAAGTGTGTTTTGAACTGGTCAGTTAACTGGGAGGTTAAGGTCTGAAGCATCCTAAAGACACCCAGATCCATCATCTTTCTGTGTCCTGTGTCACTGAATGTGATTGGCTGGTTAAAATAAACTATTATTAATGCTGATGTCGACGTACGGTGAAGTTGATCTGGCAGCCGCCCATCACATAGTCCAGGAAGGTGTACTGAGTCGCCAGCTGCAAACAAACAGAAACAAATTCAGGAGTCTTCATACGCAAGTCAGAGGAAAATAGATTTGTTAAGCAGCAGCGACGCACAGAAGCCACATCTCTTATCTGGCAGCCGTCAGTCTCACAGGACAGACACATCTAGTGCTGCAACTCAGGACGATTCCACAGATTAAACTTTCCTCCAAATAGGCAAAGAAACTATTTAAGTTTCATTTGAAGTGGCAAACTGTACGTCACTGTACAAAAGCAGCTCGGTACGAAATGGAGACAAAGGTTTACATGTTAAAGCGCAAAACTGTAGAGTTAAGCTATGATTAATATTTAAGCTCAACTCCAAAAGAAAGTTTCTATAAAAGCCCTGAAAGTGAAAAAGTAGTTTTGAAAATAAATATTAAACACAGATGAATTCTCAGCACAGTCGCTGGTTTTAACTCCTGTGTTCAGTGAGTCTGAAATAGCTGCTGGTTAACATTTAGTCTGAATGAGTTTCAGTCAATGCTTCATCCTCGTTCTGCTGTCTGACAACAGAAACAGAAAATGGCTTATAAAAAAAATAATAACGCTACCGGTAAACCCTGAAAAATGTTGAACATCAGACTCAATAGTTGGTGGATTTCTACGTTGTCCTACTGACCGCCTCAGTGATTACTTATGTCATGTTTAGAACTTGTATTCTGTCGCTAATCAAATAAAAAAAAGCACAATAATTGTTTCAGTTTTACATTTTAAATCTAGCCTTCCCCACAGGGGAACTCTGGGTAATGTAGTCTCTACCTTGCAGTTCTTCACCAAGACGACTCCAGAGTTCTTGTAGCTCTTCTTCTTCTTCTGTTTCTCAGGATGGATGCAGGCGAATTCCACCTGGAGGACGACACATTGCACACGTCAGTGGCTTCAGACCCGGCAAACAGAAATCTGTTCAATCCTCAGCGAACTCACCGGAGAACCCTGTCCTGCTTTCTGCAGCTCAGAGACTTTAGTGGTGAAAGAACCGATCAGATCGTGTGACCCGTCGCTGTCGTGGTCGGAACAATCCACCTGCGGGACGAAGAGGAGGAGGTTTAATGCGACGGATCGGACTGGTGCTTACGAGTGAAGGTGGATTCTGATTGGTGGAACCTTCAGCGTTTTGTCCAGGTCGCTGCTGCAGAACGTCTGCAGAGGAACAGAGAACTTCTTCCAGGTGGGACTCAGGTTGTTCTTCACCACCTGAACACAGAAACGAGGATCATCTGTTACTACAGCGACGTTGTCCGGATCACGTGTTCCAGTTCAGATGTTGAAACTTTAATCTTCACCTCTGTTCTGTGGACCAGCTGCCACTTTCCATCGTTGCCTTGTTTGAAAAACTCCAGGAACGGATCGGACTTCCCAAACGTATCCTGAAAATGCACAATGCTGCCGTCATTCTCTGTCACGTTGAATTTAGAGGAGATAAACTCATTTTCTGTACAGGTCATTCTGTAGTTTCTCATCCAGCTTTGTACACAAGTCCTCAGCTCTGGGTCACACATTAAAGCAGCAACAACTTTTCAGACAAACTCTGAATTCATGAAGAGCTGCTGCAGCGCAGTCCTGTGAACGTGGAGGATGACAAAGATGAGAATGTAGAAAAGCAGGAACTAGAAGCAGAATGACCTTCTTGTCGAGGTTTTTGGCCTCCAGCTCCAACACGATGGCTCTGTTGTCCCTAATCTCCTCGGCTGTGACCTGCAGAAACACAAACACTCAGTCTTCACAACATGCTTAACCTTTTAGGATTCTTCATGCACAAAACTTAACTTCAGATGTATCTGAATAAAATGACAAAGATTTAAATGTTCTCTGTACGTACAGTGATGGTTCCTTTGCCTGCAGGTTTGCCTTTCTTCAGCTGCAGAGGTCTGGTCACAGATTTACTGGCAACGATCTGAAACAGAGGAGGAGACGTCTTCAGCTGAGTCCCATCATGCATCAGTGTGTGACAGTCTGTCCAGCAGAGGGCGCTGTGGGTTTTATAATACTTGGTGGAACTGAGAATTATTTCTGCCTCCGAATAGAAACCCTGAGCTGAGGAATCACTGCCAAAATCCACAATGTGTTCACGAATATTGCTAAAAATACAAAATAAAAGGATCATTCTTTATAAAAAATGTAATTACATTTTTAAAAAATCTGAAAAAGTTCCCTCCTGACCTCCACAATCAGCTGTCTTTTTGTATTTACAGTAACTTCAGCACATTTTAATGAAGCCATGTAAAGTTTTAGAGCTACAGGTTCCTGAAGTTCATAATATTTTGTGCTTTTTCATTATTTTTCCATCATTTCTGAGCCTCATATCTTAATAATTACAGCAGATAGACATGTTATATTTTCAGGGATGAAAACACATTTGAGTTCTGTTCAAACTATGTGAAACATGGATCCTCCTCCATGTACTCCAAGAGATTGTAACTCTGAAAATCTTGAAGGCATAACTTGCTGTGGCATGCACAGTCACTCTGACTCAGTTTCCTCTTGTGAAACAACTTTCTCCATCATGACGTTCATTTTTAAACTATTTATTTCGACATTACAGAGACATGATTCCACTTAACCTCCAGAGGGAGTCAAAGCTCGACTGTAAAATCACACAGAGGCTGCAAAATAGTCCACGAACGACACAATTAATTCTATTAAGCAATTAGTCCATTGACAGAAAATTAACTGGCAAATATGTTGATTGTCAATTAATCGTTTTAGTGATTTTTCAAAAGCAAAACAGCCAAAAGATTCTCTGACTTCAGCTTCACAGATGGGAGGATTTGTTGCTTTTCTTGGTTATATGAGACAGTAAACTGAATATTTGTAAGTAAAACTGTTTTTCACTATTTTCTGACCCATTACAGAGGAAGTGAGTCGCTGCACAATTAGAAAAAATCCTGTAAGATTAAAGACTATGATTCTACTGAAAAGTGAGAAGATTTGGCTCATTTATTACAAAAATCTGCTTGTTTTTGTAATTTTATAAACTTAAACTTAGCAAATTATTGTTAGTTTTTCTCTTGTCATGTGTTTCCTGTAAGCTATTTTTTTCACTGACACATGAAGTCCTGCACCTCTACGGAAGTCGCAAAAAGTTGAAATTCTTGATTTTTACAAAACTAAAATAGTCTGGAATCTGCATGTCAACCATTTTTTTCCAAGTGATATTTAACTATTTACTTTTTAAAAAGAATTTCATAGATGTCTCCCCTCTGAGGTGTATAAACACTGCCTGCAGTTCAACTGAAAACTCCACGATTTTGTGTCACATCACTGTTGGTCACAGCTGAAGCCATAAGAGCTTCCTGGTTGCACTGAAGAGCACAGAATTTTTCCTTTTTCACAGAATCTACTCAAAGCAAACAGCTTATTTTTGGTGAATATTTAAAGTTGAAGTTTCCTGATTGAGCAGCACATAACAGGTGAGTAGTTCAAGGACTGTGGGAAAGCTTTTTATTTATTTATTTATTTATTTATTTTACAATTTCTGCCTGATAAATGGTGTCATCTTGGTGTTTTTTAAAGGATAATAATAATACCCGCCGGCTGGTTTCAGGTTCAGAGGGTAACTAAACCTGCCTGGTCCTACCTGTCCCAGCGTTATCTCCACCCCTCCCAGGTAGTCGTCGTCGCCCAGGTCAGGGCTGGTGTTGTCGATGTCGTAGATTCCCAGCTTCAGGTTCTGAACCGTCTCAAAGTGATAATCCAGTCTGAGCCGCTCACTGAAGGCAGGGCTGGAGTTGTTCTTCAGGCGCTCGGTGCGACCCAGCTGACAAACAGAGGAGGACGCGGGTGTTTGTTAACGGCTCGCTTTAAATGAAACCTGCCGTGAAACGACGACACGGGCGGCTGCGTTACCTCGGTCCACTTGTCTCCTGCCTTCTGCAGCAGCACACACAGAGGATCCGACTTGGACCCGACATCTTTGTCCAGCAGGTTGGCACAGGAGACAGTCAGCTCCACTTTAGAGACGCAGTCGGCCATCTGAGGAGGGAAAACAGAGAAATACTTCAGCATCTACAGCATCTATTACAGAATAAACGTCTGACGTTTGCGACAAAAGCGGCTGAAATATGTATTTTTATCAGAGCGTTTGAAATGTGAAAACAAAGCGACTGAAAACAGAGACAAGTGCACAGAATTATCCCCTGAAATACACATAAACATCAGAAAAGTTCCCCCGACGTCCTCAGAATCAGCTGATTATTTATCTGCAATAACTTCAGTATATTTAATGAAGCAAAGTTTTATCTTCACACTGTGAATATTTTCAGGCCCTTATAGTACACAGAGGTGGGTACATTTCACTTATTATTATGACTTTTTTCATCATTTATGAGCCTCATAACTTCACAAATACAGGAAATATTAAAAAAAGAAATTTTCAGGGTTAAAAATCACATTTAAATTAAATTAAAAATCTGCAACCAAGTCCGTTCTAAATCCATCCAGGTGTCACAATCTAAACAATAAACCTGTTTTTTGTTTATTTTCCTCTACAACCAACTGTGAGCATCAGTATTATGGGATGTATCACAGCTTTAACAGTATATCTTTGACGTAGAGTCACAGAAACAGTCACTGGTTTCCTGGATGTGTTTCTGTTTTCTGATAATTCAACAAAGAAAACTTTAAAAAGTGCATTCTGGGTAAACTTTCCAGGCTCATATCAGCATGTGTGATGGTGGTTGGTCAGAACAAGTTCTAGACATTTTTTTTAACCAACATTTGATACCAGAATCTTCTAGACATGATTCACTCTGTGGGAACATAATTTCTAAGTTGGTCTTATTTTAACATTCTATCGCCACAATAATGATGCTAAAAGTCGGTTAAAGGAAAAAAACATGATTTAGACTTTATCTTGTGACACCTGGAGTGGATATAAAATTGATTTAAATGTGTTTTTCAACCTGAAAATGTGTGTATCTGCTGTACTGATGA